CTGTCTATAAAATATTTTAAATTGAGTAAGCCATCCCAGACTAGCAGGCTATTTCAAATGAAAGCTCCACAGTTTCTCTGTAAAGTCATAGCTTATCGTGGCACAGTGATTATCATTCAAGGCTTTCATTAATTTGAACATGATTCAGTAATGTTGCAGACTAATTATCTATTGACCATATATATTCAGAATGACTGAAGATTCAGTTTCATGAATCAATGTCGAGGACAAGTGATAGATGGAATTGTTTTAAATATGAAGCAATACCAGAATATCATGAAAAAATATATATATTGAATAATGGTAGTGTTTATGTCCCAATTCATTTTTTGTTAAATAATTGCTTAAAATTGAGCATGCACTCTCTTTTTCTTTCTTTTTTCTTTAGAAAAAAAAAAGGATTCTACACAGGTTTTCATACCCTTACAAAATTTATAAAACTAAATAAATTAATACTGGCTCACAAACATTACATATTAGTCTGCAATTGGGGGAAATGACTAGATCTTCAAAGTATTAGGTTAATCCAGTTCTGTTAGTTTCTTCAACTTGTTACAAAATGTTTTGTGAAATTTGACTCAAAACATGCTAAACCACTTTGGCCAAAATCATCCCAGACAATAGAAAGATTTAACACATTATCCATTTTCCCTTTTTGCTCTTTCTTTCTCTGCCCATCTTTCAGATGAGAGCATGCCATGCATTAACATGAGGTACCTGGGAGCATCTGGGCTCACAGGGAACATTAATTGACGTCAAAAGCCCCATTTGGGCAGGATTAGTTTCCCTGAGGAAGACAATTTTGTTTTTCTCACACAACCCAGGTTAAAATGTAAAACATACTATCTTTGCTAACTCAGAAGTGATATTTATTCTAAATACAAATAATTTACCTATTGTAACAAACACCTCACTATACACCTAAGGCAAATATTAATCGCAATTGATCGCATCCAAAATAAGAGTTATGTGTGAAACACATGCATGCATAAGAACTAAATTATTTTTAAAAATTGTTTTATATATATATATATATATATATATATATATATATATATACACTGTGTGTCTGTAAATGTATGCATAATGTGTGTCATTTTCAACTTATTCTTTGCTTACAATCTTGCGCAGCTATTTGAATCTTTTTGGCTCGAGATCTTCAGTCCCGTTCATTTTCTATCATTTTTAGATGTTTAAAACAGCTTGTTAAGCTGCTTGAAGTTGCAAACTGATATTTTTTATTATGTTATTCTGCTTTGTCTGTATAGACCATTTTGAGGGATGTAAACAAAAAAAAAATGTCCCAATATATTTCTTGTTTTACATTTTTACTTTCTATAGGATCCGAGAATTCCAAAAGAGACACATATTGATAAATAATGTTATGATAGCTGTTTTAACATTAAGTTATGATTGAATTACAGTTATGAAATAGTTTGATGACAAGCAGTAAATGTTCATGGACCAATAACATGACCACATTGAAATGATATATAAGCCCACTTGTTTGTAGAGAAAGCATTTTGACTCATTTCTGCGGTTTGTTATTCCTAGTCATTTCTTCCATAGGTAAATAAATCGGAAACAATGAATTCTAAAACAACCGCAAAAACGAGCACACCTCTGCATTGAAGAATAAGGTCAATACATGTATGTTTTATATCTAAATATACACATTTTTTTCAGAATATATGCATGCATATGTGTATGTACATATACATAATACATATACACAGTACACACACATATTTTAAGTCAAGACGAACTTCATTTTGGACACAATTGATGATTCATTTTTGACCAGCATTAATTTATTAAAAATTATCATATCATTTATCACAGCTAAATTATAAATTCCTTATGACACTGCCTGGTACACCTTTAGTATGGATTTTCTAGTATGACCTTCTGGGTAAAATGACAGCATTCCAATAAAAAACACGATCAAAATCCTGTCCGAATCACTACATGACATCACAGATGTCCTCCGTTAATATTTTGACTCAAGCCGTTTGCAAAACTAATCCTGTTCAAACAGTGCAAAAGAGAGATAAGGGTAGTGAGAATCACAGAACGAGAGCGGAACATGAGAAATGATGAAAAGAAAGAGCAAATAAATAAATAAGTTCAGAAAACAATAAAGAATCTCAGAGGTTTGGCTATAGCTGGCCCAGAAGCATGTATGTCAGAGCCAGTCAGCAACTGACAGCGCAGTCACTTCTTATCAGTGTCTGTACCGAATGGCAAGCCACTCGGCACAGTTCTCCCTGCCTTCATCAATCCCTTTTCTTCCCTCCAAATCTACCTCATTGCTTTCTCACCCGAATGGCATTTGCAAAAGAGCAGCTTCCTATGTATTAAAACACTGTAGTGGCAAATGAAATGCGCTATCCATCTCAACCAACAGCCTTAATTTAATGCACAGTTGTCAAGATTATATTATACAACAAGATTATCTTCGAATACAGTGCCCTTAAGTGAACATGCAGAGCATTATATGAAAACATCTTTTGTTTTATATGATGTCAGCGTTCTGTGACAGATGCACACATACTGAATGGCTTTTAAAGTGATGCATTTAATAGTTAGATTACTATGAAGGGCCATTATTTTGGTGCTGAGCTGCAGGGATATGAATGGCCATATGGAGGGTATGTGGACGAACTCAGATTGCATGGTATCATGGATCAGAGAGTGGACAAATCTACACAAGTTGATAAGAAAAGCCTTTATGCTACAATTTGCCAACGTTTAGAGAAACACCACCATGGAAGCTAATCTGCTTTTAACAGATTAGCCAGTGAAAACAGGTACAGGCACTTGTTACTGTTTTCGAGAGTGGCTGACATATTCTCCTCGTCCGAGTTTTAATAATTAGTGATGCATATTATATTTGTAAATGACTGACTCAACATCAAGGCTCGCTATGTCAGATGGAAATCATTGATGTTCAGTCTTAATGAATTGCTTTGCTGTTGAGTCGGAAAGTAAACCACTACAGGGAGACAGTTTAGGATCAAAAAAAAAAAAACTAACTTTATTAACATTGTTGGGGAAAACTGCCTGCAACAGATCAGTCTATTATTAAACACAGATGTTCAGAGCACACCACTCGCTTCATCAACATAACATGATTGTTGTTATAGTAAATAAAAAATGAATGTAAATCATACTCACAAACTTTTACCTGTTAAACTCCTCACAATGAAAACAAAAGTGAACTAAAAGTGTGACTACATGTCTCAACTTTTAATTAAATGCGGATATTTTTAACGCTACAATGGGCTATATGCACAGCTAGTGTTTATCAGCCAATGATAAACTTTTGGCGAAAGCTTAATGTGACTATTTTCAAATTCATAAAGTTCCTTTTACAGCATCGATATTGTAATGTAATTACAATAAATTCAGTTAAAAAGACTTAAGCATTCATTCAGTTGTTAGCGTAAAACAAGATGAAAGACTGAGTAACCAATAGTGACATCAGGATCAGCAGGCGAGCGCTCATTTGAAAATATTGAAGTAAAATATACTGTCATATTTTAAATACATGGCAGGGGGAAATGCAATGTAATGCAGTGCTTCTTGTCCGGTCCCTGATTTTTTAAAGAAATCAGACCTTAAAAATGCCAATTTTATAATGGAAAGGCAGTTCACCGGAAGTGCTGAGGCTGGCTGGCTGAAAATTAAAAGCCTGTGTGCATAAAGCCCATTATCCACAATACATGTTCCTGAGTAAGTAAAGAGTTTTAAGCGTGATTCTCTAAACACTTTAACTAATAGTACTATCTAAAATGGTTATGGTAGAATCTGGCTCACTTAAATGGTAATTAGATCTCCCAAATGGTTTAGTGTTATTATGTTTCTCCAATATATATATATATATATATATATATATATATATATATATATATATATATATATATATATATATATATATATATATATATATATATTATTATTAGCGCGTTTTGGTAAAATACTTAACATTATTAGGTCTGACTCTCTAAAACTGTTAATTGTATGGTTCCCTCAAAAGATTAGCAGTTCTCATAATCAGGTTAGATTTCTAATACAATTCTGAATTGATAATATTGTGAGAATGTTTCTGTAAAATAGTTAACAGTCTTAATTATAGTATTTATTTTATAGTTTTTAATAGTATATTTTATTTTTTCAGTTTTTCAAATCTGTCTAGTGTTGTTCTCAGAATTGATTGCCATAATGAGTATATTGTGAGGTACTTTAAAAACAACAGTCAGAGTGGATGTCTACAAGTTTATTGTGTAATAAGGCTTACTTAAATAATTATAAGCGTCTACAACAGTTAATGATTATCATTTTTTTTTCTTTTTGGCTAAATTAAATTTAGCTAGTAACATTATCCAAAATGAATAATATAGTGATTGTATTTCTATAAAATATTTTGTCTGAAGAATACCTCTCTAAAGTCAATTGATGAATGTCATTCACTAAAATGATTAATGCATGTCTTTAATGTACATTAAAGCATTTCTTAATAGACGTTAACTCAAAGCTTTAACATTTTTCTAAAACAATGCTAGTATGGTTTTCAGAAAAGAGTGAGATTGTCAGTGTTCTTTAAACTGAGAACAGCTAGAACAGTGTATGTGAAATGTTGACCACAATGGTTTAGAGGTTTGAGTCCGGTGGTCTACAACGGTTAATGAAGTTTAGCTCTATAGTTCACAGTTTGAGTATTCTTTAAAATAAATACATGCTAAGACTTACACATATGATTAATATAAATACGTGCACTATGATCTAAAACAGATGTGTAATTCTTGACAGTTTGAGAAAACAACAGAACAGTTTAGAGAGTGGTTCTGCATGTGTTCCTTTAACAGCGCAATTCTGCGAGAGCGGTTCCCCAGTAAAACAGTGCCGAGTGCGAGTATGATTCTCCCCTAAAACTTTCCATTACCCCCCTCGCCTTTTCACAAACACACATTCCTGACAAATCCTGAACCGAAACTCACCGGAATTCTCGGCCAAACTGGACAAGCCCGACACTGCCAGCAGCAGCAGCCCCATGAAGCACATCTGTCCCCCGAACAACTCCTTACGCTTTTTCCTCCGCGCTTTGATCTTCTTTTGCTGGAGCATCACTTGCAGCGGTCGAGTCCACACGCGAACACACGCATCCCCATCCATCACCACAGCTCGACACGGCTACAAATGAGACAAAATACAGACAGATGCGGCGCGACTGAGAGTTTAAAGCTTGGAGATGAAACGACTGAAGTGTGTTTGTTGCGTTGACGCGAATATTCCCCCTATATGACTTCAAATTGTAATGTGCTGAAATAAAGATGCTGCGCGCGCCCCATGGATGCGTCAGTTTGGTGCCAGTTCTCTCAGGACACAAACTGCTGCTGCTGAGAGATTGAAGATGTAGTGGAGGAGAGAGAGGGAGAGTGAGAGAGGGAGGGAGGGGTGAAAGTAAGGAAGTGAACGCAGTGTCTGAGAGAGAGAGAGACGGATAAACGGGAACGCTGGTTTAATGGTGAACTACCTAGGATGAAGTCCACGCATTGACAGAGAGAGAGAGAGAGAGAGAGAGAGAGAGAGAGAGAGAGAGAGAGAGAGAGAGATGGACTGGAACGACGGGCAGTTGTTGGTGGGTTTCAAAGGAGGAGCTACGCTACAGTCTGATTTACAGCAAACAAAACTCTGCTCATCGCCACCCTCTATTGGTAACATTACGCTGGTTTTATTATTAGCTAATAGTACATAGGCTACTAACGTATCTCCTTATAACATATTATTTCATTGACGCCATTTTAAAATGACACTAAATGACTAATGTATTTATTTGGTTTACAACGTCCAGTTCAAAACCTGCTTAGATAAAAATGTTTAAAAAAATTAATATAGACAAATGAGCAAATCCATGCAAATGTCAACCTTGCCGTGAAAAAATGGAAACTGTTTCTACATTTGTTTGAGTAAGGAAGTATTTTACAATAGATGAGAAATTCTCAAAAATGTCTGTCCATGTATTTAAACTATTATATTTGATTTACCAAAGTCACACAAGTGCCAATTTCACATCGGTCACATCCATAACAAAGAGACGTCACACATCCATAACAACATTTTATCCTCATAAGTGCAAAAATGTCAAATAAAATAAAATAAAAACTACAGAGACAGGTTTTATCCTTTTGATGAGCATTATTTCTTTTGGGTTGAGCAGCTTATTTCACAGAATTTCAACAAAGTATGATGTATACTGTAAACTCGCATACTTTTTTGGTCTAGTTCATAACGCTTGTTTATTTTCCTCATTTAAAGTACAAGACATGTTTATAGATTGCTATTTTTTTGGTCCCTTAACTCTGTGGTCAGTTGTTCTTGAAAATATAAACAGATGTATCAATATAATGTTAACTCTGTGAATTTATATTTTAAGTTATGTTACATATGTTACATCCATAATGCTGGAATTGATCATATATAGATATATTGTTTATTCCTACTGTCGGATAAGGAATATGTAATATGAAGCTAGAATGTATTCAGATGTCACTGAGTTATCAATGAAGTTAATTTTCATCCAAAAGTTGAACTGTGCTCTAAGGACAAGGTTATCTTTCAGATTATCTTTCAAGTTGTCTCGTTTGTATTGGTCATCTTTCTTTAAAATGTGAAACATTTATACAGTTTGTTAATTATAGGCCAATGGGTTTATATTTAGTACTTTGTTTAACATTTTTACCACTGAAAATTAACAAAAATTGAATGTTTACTGTCACTTTTTCCATTGTGACAGTAAACAAACTGACAACCAAGGTCACTGCATGCCGCTTAATACCATTTTAAAATCACAGCAATTCCTTGCACCTGATCAGATTTTTCTGTTAATGCAAAATAATGCATACTCTTCAAATATGTCTCAACCATACAAACCACAACACCACACAGCTGCAAATCTTGCAGCTATTGTCTTTGATATAGATTCAAACAGCACAAATCATTTGTTCCCCTCCCTGAAATATGTTAAACACTGCAGGCAAAGAGCCGCTTGGTGCTCCGTGTTCCCATCGTCAAATACTGAGCACTGTGTCAGCAGCTGGGCCGGCTCCCACTGACCGCATGGCTTGCGTGCCTAATGCCACTGCTAGGACAACAATGCACTTTTCATGGAGGAAAGCAAAGAGTGGGCGATGAGCCTATTGGATTAAACTGGACTGCACATACTGACAGATTGGGTGTAATCTCTATCCAGCCGAAGACTTGCAGATTCTCCAATGGAGCGAGCCGGATGATGAAGTGAGGTTGTGCAATCTATTTGCAGAGTCAGTGTGAAAATATTGTTTGCTTATTTTACCATTTACTCAAGATGGTGGATCAAATAAAGGTAGTGTAAGCTCTTTAGCCACTGTTTACCCAGTCCGTGCGACATCAGTGCTCTTCTAGCCCCCCTTCTTCTGGCACTTTCATCTATAGCTTGTGATCTGAGCTTCACCTGTTTCTCTCCCCCTCTCTCTTTCTCTCTGGTATGAATCTGTGTGTAATTCAGTTTGTCTTTTGATGTGCTATTAGCCTCATATTGTCTTGATGTTCCATATCCACCTGTGTAGTAATTGTCAACAAATAAAAGATTTTTTTCCCACACCTTTGATCACCATGGTCAGTTCTTTAATATGCATTTTTAAAAGGTCTGAATGCAGCAGGCAGAATCACTATGTAAATATCGCATGTGTTTCATGAGGACTGTTAGATGCCTTAGGTGGATTTCCATAATGACACGAGTGACTCACTGTGATGATCTGTTTAAAGTCTTGTTAAATTTCTTTGATGGAAAACCCATTGATCAAACCCCCCATGACCTACGCCAGAATCATAGTTATTAGTTTTGTACATATATTCATTCCATTCCAATTCACAGATATGGTCAGTTTTGTGTTTTTTTAAACGTTTGCATGAATACCTCGCTCTCTAAATAATCAAGCTTTAATGGGATGAGTGGTAAATAGCAGCTTTCTCTTCACAATATGTTGGCTAGAGTAAGAATGTGAAGAAAGAAATGCTAGTGAGAACATGCTGCTAAATGGAGTAGCATGGAGGAACAAAGTAGGCCTGTATAGAATAAGAGACAGATCTATATGTTTTTCGATCTATGTACACCAGGCCTGTAGCCATCCTGGCCAAAGGAGTGGTTCTTTTTTTCTTGAAAAGTGGACCTTTTTGAAATTATATGCCTCATTTTCTATTTAATTATGAAATTTAAATATTGCATTTTAGTGACATTATTTTAGTGACATAGTATTCAAATAAATTTTATTATGGGCTGTTTTTGGTGCTTCACATCTTTTTATTGGTCATTTTTTGTTTCAAGAATAAGGTCCAAGATATTAAATAAAAGTTACTTTTAAAATGTTTTCCAAACAATACAGTAGCGAAAGATGACTTCTTTGATATCAGATTGTGTGTTTTCTTGCACAGCTTGATGTTGGACTTACGTAAAATATTTATTAGCAATGGCCAAAACTGATTAGCTGAAGTCACACCGAAGCCACAGCCAACAGAGGATTCTGCTTGGTCTTAAAGCCTTTTCAACATGTTATTTTCACCATGATGGCATAGCAATCAAAATAAGACAAATGATATGTATGGGGCAAATTCTGCACTTTTGTCAGTGAGGAGTGGGTCTTCTGAACAACCCGAACCCCCCTGGCCACGGGCCTGTACTCACTTATACTTTTTTACTGTATAAACTGTACAATCTATCCTTCTACCCTAACCTTATCCAAAAACTCAACCCTCACAGGAAACAATCTGCATTTTAACATTTTCAAAATACTTTATTCTTTGTAATTTGAGTCGTTTTTCCACATGGGGACATAAAAATATTTACTGGTATGGCAATATTTGTGAGAATATTTGAAACCAATAAAAGTTACTCTCTCTCTCTCTCTCTCTCTCTCTCTCTGTGTGTGTCTGTCTGTCTGTCAGCTTAATGGCTCAGTGAATGGAATATGCAATGATTTACCAACGGAAACTGTACACTTCAACATTTTAAATGGGAATAAACATAAGATTATTGTTTGAGATCCCTTTGCAACATCTTTAAAGAGACGTGAGATGACTAACACACAGCAATCCATTATTATGTTCTATATTATGGTTGTAATTGTGACAGATCCTTTAAGTTTTAAATAAGTCTAAAAAACCCTTGCATGAGTAAGGTTCACTAAAACTGTTAAAATGGTTAACAGTTAATTCTGGCTGTCTAAAACAGTCCACAGTGCTTGTGTGGTTCTCTGAAACAGTTAATATTTTGAGTATGATTCTTTAAAATAGTTTAACTGTCTTAGGTATGGCTCTTTAAAACAGTTAATATGTATATGACTTTTGAAACAGTGCATGTCTTATGATCAGAAACAGTTGTGTAATTCAGTCAACTTTTAACAGTCTTGGAAAAAGCATACGTTTTTGGACTGTTCAAAGTGTCTTTCTGCATTCTGTATGTGGTTAACCTTTAGGAAAATGTCTGAGATCATGTTGCACCATCTTTAATGGATATGTGAGAAAGTACTCGTAGTAATGCATTATTTTAATATGTCTATGTTACAGTGTGTTATAGTCATGTTAAAATAAACAGACTGTTGTTGTTTTCTGAATTTTATCATAATATGCAGACTAATGTGATTCTGTGTTACAGTGTAGAGTATATTTATTATAAAAGGAAGCTTTTTATTTACTAAATAAAGTTAATATATTCTATTAACATTAAAATACATGTACTTTCAATAGCACTCTATACTATATAGATGTACATTTAATAAAATTAAATTAAATATAATTTTTTAACACAAATTGTTGTTTTGTAAGAGCAAAGGTAGTTAAATTCAATTTGTAAACATATAGATATCTCTTTATTATCTCATACTTTCTGGTCTTTTAAAGTTACAATGATTGAAATAAGTGGTTTATAAAACAAAATGACTTAAAGCACATTTCAAGGACAATCCAGAATTTTCTATCCCTTGCCAAAAATGGCTCAGCAACTCCGTCTTTGTCTTTATAGTCAGATGGTAACATCTATTAGATGTTGGAGTCAACATTATTAATGCATTTGCTCATTTGTCTGCTTTCAGTTTGGCAAAATATATCAAAATCTGCACTGTTATAAATCCCTTTAGTTCCTTCACATGCTTCAGGTCAGGATTTATCAATTTACTGCAGTTTTGCTTCACAGTAATGAAGTCTGAGCCTGGCAGCAAAATGATATCAGCTTGTAAGCATAATGAAAACAAACTGACATCATTTTATCAATAAACAAGACAAGCATTGTGAATAAGAGTTATCAAATATTCTAGTGACAACACCTGTGGGATTTCACATACTGTAGTGTCAATAGCTTTTCAAAAAAGAATGGTTTGCATAGGCCACATACTTTTAAGGAAAAACACGTTCATTCTAACAGTGTTTCAACAAGGATATTATTACTAGCATGCTCCAATTTGTAAGGTACTTTGCTCTCTGCTGCTGGATATACATATATTCAGGCAAAGTCACAGAGACTGAGACCAATTACCCAAGG